CTGGGCAGTTAATATTTAGAAGGATAGACCAGCACCATCGACCTTATTTGGGGAATGACAAGGTACTTCCAGGGGGAGTTCTTGGTAGAGAGGTCAGCACTGGTTTTTTGCTTCATGTTTATTTGGTGCAAGATTTTCTTGTTTAATGACTGTTTGTATAGTGCTGTATTGTGTAAATAAAGCTATGACCTTTACCTTCTGATAACAATATAGGAGTGAGTTAATGTTAAATGAGAGTGAGCAAGGAGTGGGAATCTGCCAGGGTTAATGCCAAGTTTACATTCCTCTGAGGGCAGCCATGTTCCGGTACCCTCAAAAGAAAGGGCAACAGTGCCTCTCAACAGATAACAGCAGTGAAACATTACAGAACATATTTGTATTTATTACTGGGTGAATGTCACTGATTTTAGGTGATTGATGTTTGTGTCTTTATTTTATAACAGGAAGAAATGTGTGTTATCTCTTAGCATTTGATAAGAAGATTTTAACTCAGAGAAATATACACAAAATAAAATTACAGTAGAGCTGCAGCACATGTGAAATTGAACTGTACTGATATATAACAAACCCATTCGTTTTCCTAAACTGGTTAGACAATGGAGCTGTTTCTGTAGAATCATGTACACTAGCTCCAAACAAAATCATACTCTGCAAACAACTTTCTAACAGAAGAAAGATAATGCTTTCTGTTTCACAGTGCATTAAAAATCTAAAGGTACTTCCTACATATACTTCTGCTGCTAACAGACAAAACCTGAGATTGAATTTTACTGTGCCCTTCAGTCATGTTTGTCTTCAAATAATGAAAAATATTTCTATAACCCAGTTTTAGTGGTGTTGAAACTGTGTCGCATTAAGGGTGAAACTTTGCCTTTTTGCATGCTATTTGCATGAATGCATCTACCGAAGTTTCATTATAATGCAGAGAATTGCACAGCAAACGTGATTCTCAGGTGACAGGCTTTTAACAAAGATTTTGTTGTGCTCTTGAGATGCTTCACTCAACAAAGAATCACCGAATAATAGAACCATAGAATCATTTGGGTTGGAAAGGAGCTTAAAGATCATCTAGTTTCAAACCCTTGCTATAGGCAGACACATCTCCCACTAGACCAGGTTGCTCAGAGTCCCATCCAACTTGGCCTTAAACACTTCCAGGGATGAGGCATCCACAACTTCACTGAGCAACCCATTCCATTGACTCACTGCCTTCATGGTAAAGAATTTCTTCCTAGTATCTAAAAATACTGGTTGTTTAAAGCCATACCCCTTGTCCTGTCACTACATGCTCTTGTAAATTTTATCCCTTCATCTTTCTTGTCGGCTACCTTCAGGTAATGGAAACCCACACTCATGTCATTCTGAAGCCTTCTCTTTTCCAGGTTGCACAGTCCCAGTTCTCTCAGCCTTTCCTCACAGGAGATATTGTCCATGCCTCTAACCATCTTGGTGGCCCTCCTGTGGGCTCTCTCCAACAGGTCAATGTCCTCCTTTGTGCTGGGGACCCAAGAGCTGGATGCAGCACTGCAGGTGGGCGTTCACCAGAGGGGAGTAAAGGGACAAAATCCCCTCCCTTATCCTGCTGCCCACAGTGCTTTGGGTGCAGACTAGGATGCAGTCCTCTTTCTGGGCTGTGAAGTTGGGAAGTAATGCAAAATATTGGAAAAAAAAATAAGGAACTCTGTTTAGTTGGGTTTTTTTAAATACTAATGACAAAAATTATGAACAACCTTAAAAGAAAATTTGAGTTATGCCCTTCAGTAAAGACATTTTCATACAACTTCTATTTTTGGCCAGAACCTTGCTACTTTTGGCTCAAGGTTTACATTTATTCTCTTTGCCCATCTTCCCAGCCCCTCTCTTATCCACCTCCTTATTATATAAGCTTATATGATCTTATCACTTAGATGCAGCTACAGCAAACATTCCTGCGTGCAGATCACTACTCCAAGGCTGATTTTGATTGTGAAACTGCTCATATGCATGATATGTGCAGCTTCCTGAATTATTGGGACCTTGATTTGACTTCTAAAATAGAAAAATATGTTTATTTTAAAAGAGCAAATCATCATGTTTGAGAAGAACAGAATAACACCATTATTAAAAAATATATATTCTTTTGCATAACTGCAAAAGGCAGTGGAAAATGAAAATTTAGCCAGTCCAAAAGCTGACATAACTAAGTTATCATGAAATCCATTGAAAATATTAAAAATTTCCGTTTAGCTGAGAGCCTGTACTCAAATGGAAGAAAACAGAAATAATGTTCACTGGGAGGTTAACTATATAGGCCTAAAAAACTAAAACAGAGAAAATATAGCCAGTAAGAACCCCAGCATTTTGGGGAGCACGCCAAAGTCTCTACTGCTGCCAGAAAAAATAGTGGTAGAATTACATCAGAAAGACCTTGGACAGACAAGGTGCAGGCTAACCAAGGGAATCAGAAAGTGGAACAAAATGGTGGCCCTGACAGTGCTGAAAATGAGCAGAAAGGGGTAACAAGGCCAGAGTGATAATAAATCCCTTCTTGTGCCAGCAGTAATGTGTGCCCCTCTCCTTGGCTCCCGCTGTGTCACAGAGCCTGAACAAACAGCTCCCCAGCAGCAGAGAGAAGGAGAAATAATCACAAGTAGGAGTCTTCATCATCTCAGCAGCATTGAGTACATGTGGAGGAAGCATATGTGGAGCAGGAGTAGTAGTGATGCCAAGGTCAGCTTTTACCAAGACTGGAGATTGTGTGGTTTCAGCACTGTTATACACCCAGCAATGGATGGCTCCAGGGACAATTTACTCCCACCACCAAGCTGAATTTTGATCCCACAAGACCACTTATGGAGGTATAATATGTTAGATTTTAAAATATTTTTACAGTAACATCCAGCTTTTGAGAAGAGAGGCTTATGAGAAGTCCAAGCAGTACTTCTCACAAGGTACATACCCCATGGGTCTTCACTTCATGCTTCCTGCTTCAAGAATTTGTTTCCAGTAGGCAGTCTTACAAAACAGCAGAGAGAGAGAGAGCAAATAAATGTGACAGGCCAGAAATAATGGTGGTATTTGCACATGTATGCTTTTTTCCTCCAGGCTTCAATTTCCTTCTGATGTATGGAAGATGCAGAAAATGTCACTCTGTCAAATGGAAACAGTACATGTGGTTGTGTGTTTTGGGTTGGTTTTTTTTCATGTATATTTGACAGTGGCAGTCATAAAAGTATTCTTCACAAGGTATTCCAGTATTAGAGTATGTGATTGCCCCTTCAAGGGAAGGGGAAGATGGGATGGAAACAGTAGATTGCCTGTATAGAACTCTGGGTGCACTTTGGTAAAAACTGAGTAATACAGAAGCATTACCCAAAATAATTGACTGAAGAAAGCTTGGTCACTAGTAACCTGAACAGAGGAACTTTGTGTTCAAAACATGGAATATAAAGTATAAAATTAAATGGTCACAAATAAACATTATAGCACTTTACCAGTATTTACTTGATTTATTATAGAGTCTCCAAGGGAGATCCTGTGGTCTAATAAGACCCATTTTGAAACATACCTAAATACATTCTAACACAAATAATGAGTCAGATGGAATTGCTATGGTCAGTTAAGTGGGTAATGGATATTTAAAAGCTTTCAAACATCAATAAATCTGAAGGAGCTCTAATAGAGTACTTGAAGAACAAAAATAATTGGCACTTAAGAAACTGCCTGAGTAAATAAGTATCTGCATAAACTTAACTACCAGTGAGAGGACAGCAAGTGTTTATGGTACTGTGTACTGAGGATATAAAAGGCATTCCAAATGCTTGCCAGTTCATTTGCTGTTAATCTGTAATGTGTCCAGAGAGACCATAACTATTATCAAGAGGCTCTGATTCTCATTTATATAAAAGTTTTTAAATATCTGCTGGCATGAAAGGATCCTCAGATTGTGTGTAAAGAAGGTAGACAGCAGCTCAGCAGCATATGCCTTGCACAAGGCTAAAGGCTCTCTGCTGCAAGCTGGTTGAAGCTGCCTCTGCTAAAACCCTGTAAGCTAATTTCCACTTATTATTTTTCACTGAGTGAGAAAAATCCCAAGCAGAGGGGAAAGAAATCCTTTGGACAGCCCTGGTTTTTAGGCAGGTTCTCTTTTCACCTTTTGAAAATTCACAAGAGAAAAAGAAGGGAATATTTTGTCAGCTCCAGATCAGAGCTAGTGGCGTCCTTGCACACAAAGCAGGACAAAAGTTTGGGGTTTCTGTGGATGTCCTAAGAGGAAGAGGATTTCACCATAATTTCTAAAACATCTGCAGATTGAGTAGTTGCTTTGTCCATGAGCAAGAGGTTTTGAAGAAATTTTGAAACAGCATCCTGGAAATTCTCTGTGTAGTAGTAACAACAAAACATTAACTGGTATTAGTGAGCTATAGCTTATAAAGCCAGAGACAATTCTATGACAAATCATTCCACTACAGACTTTTCTCCCCTGGCTCAGATATGTGTTTTAGTTAGGCCAAAACAATTGTTTGTATAAACCAAATCCAAGAGAGATTATACTAAAATCAAAAAATTGTGCCGATAACCCATATAATAATAGGGTTTATCTTTTACACACCTTATGTAATAGAATCCATTTATGAAGCAGTCAAACATAGTTATGTTTGCCTAATTACAGTAACAGAATTATGGGGGCAGGAAGACAGTGATGTCTGGGGCTGAGTGGGCAGTAAAGGATGAAAGGGTGGAACAGTATCATTGCTAATGGAGCTTTTTGTGTCATCATTTATTGAGTTTCAGTTGAGAATCACAGTGCCCCTTAATATTTTTTTTGCTACACTATCATGCCTTAATACTATAAATTTGCTACAGAGACTATAAACTAATAACCCTTATTTTTTCAGTCAAGCAATGGTGAGTTTAATAAATCATATATATGTCTTAGAGATATAGTACAGCTTCTGCAACTTCCCTTCTGTTTGAAAGGCATTTTGATAATCTTTCTCAGAAATTTGTTTGTTCATGCATTTTTAGTTGGAATTCAAATTGTGATAATACATAATAAAAGTATGTTGTAAATGTGACTATGACATGACATGGGTGTAGAGAAGCCACCACCTAGTGTATAAGTGACTGTTTCTTAAGAAATCACTTATTTACAGTAAAACCTCTTTCTGTTACCAGAAGAAAAAAGCTATTTTACAATAGAATTAGATTGTACTCAGTGTGTTCAGTTTAAGGCTGTCAGAAGGATGCAAAGAGACATTATTGTGCATTATAATTTAATTAAACTTTATGTATAAGCTGTATAATTAATCTCCTTGCTAGTCTTTGCCCACATAACTGTCTGGAAGTTCTATGGGATAATTTCTCATCTTGTCAGAACATAGAGTCTGGTTAGCAGATCTCAGAAGAGGCTGGGCATGCAGAAGTTACAAAGATAAATCCTCAGGCCCAAAATAATTTTTTTCATGTTCACAAAATTATTCAAGAACAGCCCACACCGACCAATAGTTAATATTATAATCCTACTGAAGTTAGTATTTATATGCAGTGATTACCCAGTAAGTACCAAATGTTAGAGATTTAAATAATTATTTAGCCTCTCAAATGTTTATTCAGAAGTGCCTCTCTTTTGCATTTGGGCTGGACTATTGGCTTCTCTTGGTAGTTTTTCTATCTTTATAGCTGAAGGTAAGTTGGAATAGCACTCTCCTAACCCTGATGTTGGCAAAAGTGAGTACACTGTAAATTTCCTAAGGCATGCCATGTTTTATTTCATGTGAGTAACCCATGAGTCATCTTTCCATTGCATTCATATTAATTAAAAATCATGGGGTGCCTTGTATAAGTAGATTTTAAGTGGTGACCTTAGAAGTTGGCACTACAGCCAAAGTATTCTTTGCTTTCCCATACTTTCCCAAGTATGTTTTCTGGAGGAGATGGGGGAAGGCTGCAGCAGCTACACTGGAAACAATGCTGGAGCTGAAACTTCCTGCACATGAAGAGAATGTCTGGAAATGTTTGTGCAGCTTTCTGGAAGATGTTGGGGGCAAAAGTAATTTGATTTTGCTACACAGTTGTAATTTTAAAATAGTATCTTTTATACTTCTGGCATTAACATACATAGCCCCTTTTAATTACATATCAAAACACGAATTGGATTTGGAACCATCAGATTCTGTCTGGAAGCAGCATTAGGAGTTTATTTTGTGCATAGATCAACATATAAGGTCAGGCAACTCCCATTTTTTCAGGCATCTTCTTCATGCTTTATGGATAAATAATATTCTTAATTTTTCCAGAATCCCTCCACTGCAATGATCTTCCATCAAACATAATAGAAAATCGTTAACTCTATAGAATTTTGTAACAGATAAATTTCTCTGTATAGTAGAATGCTTTAGAAAATTAAAGGATAAAATAAATTTAACTCACAGTTTGTACAAGAATTTCTGCAGAAACCTGTTAAACTGCTGATGACTGCTGCTGTTTTGATCCCTGAAAAATACAACAGTGTTAGAAAAGGTTTTAAATGAAGAGCCTACATACCCTTCCCAAGTTCAGACCATGTGATAGGTTAAAAATATGTTTAGGCATGTAAACTATGCTACTGAAATAGAATAGAAGCAAAAATTGCTAAAATCTTTCTTCTAGTGATTCCATATAAGTAAACATTTTGTTGGAAGCATTTATGCTACATAATTTATTTAGTCCTTTCTGTGTAATATTGCAGGCACCACTCTGTGGAAATGCTTTCCATAAAAAGACCAAAGTGAGGTTGGAAAAATCAGTGTCTGTATGAAAGTTCACTGCAGTTTTTCTTTTCTGAATAGAAAAGCGTTTTTTCTCCATGGAAACATTATATAGAGCTTAAGAGGAGTCTACTTACTGCTGGGAGCTGTGTTTGTTCCCTGCTAAGGACACCCTTGGGAACACAGGGAAGGGGATTCTTATCAATTGGTTTCTTTTATAAAAAGAAACATTTTATGTAAAAACCTTCCGCAACCCTTCTCCTTTATGCTTTTTGGGCTTGATAAAGATGCAGAGGGCATTGGCTAGTATAGAATATATGTAAGTGTTGGCCTATGCAAGTACATCAATGGCTTCCTCAGGATATGCTCCCAGTCATCTGAGTTTAGCCATTTGATTGTATGTCCTGTGTTGTGCTTGCCAGACTAAAATATTTTCTTCCTTTTTTTTTTTAAATATCTTAAATTTTGCAGAGTGTGTGTATAGTGTTTGTTCAAATGCATGAAACAAACTGAAGACCAATTTAAGTTATAACATTGCTGTGTTTTCACCTTTTCCCTAAATCGTATAGTGGTTTATCTATTCCAGATAGAAGCACTTGGAATTATTAAGGATGTAAAATACTTGTAAAAGCTAACTTTTACCAGAAGATTTTAATATTTTACAGGCTCTTTGTCTTTGCTGTGTGTTCTCATCTTGGAGTATGCTGACAGTCTGATTCCTTCCCTGAGAAAGGGTGGTTTCTTTTCTATTAGTTTTCTTTTAAAAAACAACCTTATCAGAATTAAGAAATTAATCTGTATTAGCACTGAATATCCTTTATTGCTTGCATCTGTCTTCAGCAGGTGAATCATAAGCAGCAGGTGAACACTTAGTGCAGTGTTCAGGCAGGCTGGACTTCTCAGTCATGGACCAAAGCGCAAGTTTTCTTCATAGGTGCTGGGAATCATAGAATGATGGCATATCAGGTGGGAAGGGGACCCAGGGATCATCCAGTCCAAACGTTCTTGGTAAAAGCTGTCTAGACAAGATGGCCCAGCACATTCTCCAGCTGTATCTTAAGAGTGTCCAAAGTTGGGGGATCCTACACTTCACCAGGGAGATTATTTCAAAGCCTGATTTTTCCCATTATGAAAAATTTTCCTCATGTGTCTAATTGGAATCTCTCCAGGAATAATGTATTGATGCCTTAAGTTTTAGCTTTCATATTTCCAGATTCTGTGCTGCTTTAGGGTGTAGCTCTGAGCTTCATATTAAGTGTTAGCATGTTCTCTTCACAGGGTAAGGTAGACATAACAATCCTTTTCCAGCTTGAGACCAAGGACAACCATTACAAGTTTCAGGCCCAAAAAGTATAAACAACAGAGAACTGAAGAGAGCAAACAACAAGGATGGGACTTCATAAGCTAAAGCTACAATTGGACAATTAACTTCAATATGCAAATGGGCCAAAACTTGCAAAAGTGTGAAACCTCATGACTAGTCGTCCATTTTGTGACCATTGTGGGTCCATCTTAGGTGTAGCCCTGGCCAGGCTCTTGTTCTGCCCAAAGTGTATCCTTTAAGGATATCTACTATCTAAGGATATCTACTACTAAAGATATCCTTTAATAAATACCTATTTTATTCTTAACTCTGTCTAGCCTCTGTTCTAGGTCAGCCTTCTCAAGGCTTCAGTTCAGTCTTCTTTTTTCCTGTGTGATTTTTTGTAAAAAGTGAGTATCTGAATTATTTGTTCCTTTTAAATACTGGGACATGGTGATATGGTCTCCCTTGAGCCTTCTGTTCTGAAGGCTGAACAGCCCAGCTCTCTCAGCTTTTCATCATATGGCAGGATTCTCAGTACTTTGGTCATCTTTTTAGTACTGTCCTTGTTTTTCCTGCTTGTTTTCTTTGCTGCAGCAGTACATTGTTCACTCACACTGAGCTTGTTGTCCACCAGGACCACCAGATCCTTTCCACAGAGCTGCTCCCTCACTGGGTAGATACTGGTTTATGCTCCACTCCTGGATTGTGTTTCCCCAGGTGCAAGACCTTACATTTTTCTTTGTTGAGTTTTGTGATGTTAGCTCACTCTTCCAGCATATCCAGGTCTTCCTGCAGGGTGGTTCTCTTTCCAATGTGTCCACTTCCCCACTTAGTTTGGTATTGACACCAATCTTCATCAGGGTACACCTGATCCCTGATCTTGATCAAGTAATGTGCATCACTTGATGCAGATAATCTGTGAAAATACTAAACAGCCTTGAGACCAGGACTGATCCCAGGGGGACCTTACTTGTGACAAGCTGCCAGTTCTAAAACTATTTACCACCACTCTGGGCTGTAGCACATCGGTTTCTCTAGGAGGAAGCTGTGGGAAACCATATTCAAAGCCTTGGTGAAATGCAGGTTGACCATGTCCACCACTTTTCCCACTTCAACATTCAATGAGCAGATTACTCTGTCATTGAATGCCAACAGGTTTGTCACATACAATTTGCCTTTGGCTAATCCATTACAGCTTTTCCCAGTCATGTGCTTCATCTGACTTGCGGTAGCCCTAGGAGGATTTGTTCCATAACTTTCCCAAGACCTGAAAGTTAAGATTGATGAGCCTGTAATTTTCTGGATCCTTCTTTTAGCCATTCTTGTAGATGGAGTTGACACTAGACTTCTTAGAATCTTCTGGGATCTCCATGACTCCTCAAAACATTATGGAGAGCAGCCTTGCAGCGATGTCAGCCAGCTTCTTTGACACCCTCAGATGGACATTGTCAGGGCCCAGTGATTTGTAGGGGTCAAGCTCCTGTAATACTTTTTATATCAACTCCTCCTGCACTGATAGTGGGTGGGTGTTTTCGTAAATGTAGATTCTTGTTCCCTAGACCAGGCACTCAACAGTGCTAGTGAAGACAGACGTGACAAAAGTTTTGGGGACTGCCACATTTTCAGTGTTGTTGATGACTAATTAACCTTTTCTGTTTAACAGTAGGACAGTTTTTAGTTTCTATTTCTGCTTGCTGTTTAGGTACCTGAAGAACCCTTGTTTTTTGACATCTCTGTCCAATTTCAGCTCAGTGTGAGTTTTTACTTTTTAAACTCTATCTCTGTACTCCCTGAATACAGGAATACTGAATACAGGAAATGCCCCTGTATTTATTGATGGATATTAATCCACTTTTCCTTCTCTGATATGCTTCTCTTTTGGTTTCTGAGCAGACTCAGAAGATCACAGTTAAGCCAAGGGAAATCTTTTGCTCTGCCAACTTTCTGTATTTTTAAAGGGGATAAACTGGTTTTGTATTTCCAGGAGAGCATGCTTGAAACACTCTAGCTTAGTTCCTTTATCATCCATGGAAGCTTTCCATGGAATGCCTCCTAACTGACCTCTGAGCAAGCTGAATTTTGCTCTTCTAAAATCTAAGACCTTTCCCTTAGTAGTCAGCTTCCATGTGCTCAGCCAGATACCAAAGTCCAACAATAAGGTGATTACTACAGCCAAGGCTATTACTGATGATACTGCAAAGCAGGTCTACTTGGTTTGTGAGTAGCAAGCCCAGCAGTGCCTCATTCCTAGTTGGCACGCTTAGTGTTCGTATGAGGAAGCAGTTCCCTGCGCATTCCAGGAACTTGATGCATGAGCTGCTGAATTGTTTTTCCAACAAATGTATGGGTAGTTGAAGTGATCCCTGAGAATCAGGTTCTGTTGACCTAAAGCTTGCTTTAAATAACACAAATATTGCTTTTGGGGCCATATCTTCTTGACTGGGAGGTCAGTAGCAGGTGCCTGCTCTATGATCCCCATTGGAGATAACCATTTTGATCTTGACCCAAAGGAATTCAATAGGGCTTCCACAATCACCACAGTTGAATTTTATACATTCAAGCTTCTCCTTGACACAGGACATGACACCTCCTCCTTTTGCTTCCCTGTCTTTATGTGACAGCCTGTAGCCATCCATCATGGTCCTCCAGTCATGTGAGTTGTCCCACCATGTTTCAGTTATTCTTACTTTCTGACTGGGCACAGAGCTCCGGTTCCTTGTGTTTGTTCCCCAGGCTACATGCACTGGTATACATACACTTGAGATGGTTGGTTGGTCTTTTGTTTCTCATCTTGGAAGGCAGCTAAGGAATGTTTGTCCTTGCTGCAGTTGGCCTGGCTTATTACCCACTTGGTTGAAATAGCATGAGTATTGCAACTTTGGACCCCATCTGCTAAGTCATTCAGTTTAAAGCCCACCTCACCATGGTGCCCAGCCTGTTACCAGAGATTCCCTTGCCTCTTCTAGACAGGTGGATCCCATTTCTCCCTGACACACTAAGAGTTATTGAAGATTGTCCAATTGTCATAAAAGCCAAAACCCTCATGACTGCACCAGCCACAAAGCCAGAAGTTGACTTGCATTATGCTTCTAGTTTTGGCTTCATGTTTTCCTCCAAGTGGTAAAACAGAAGGAAAGATAACTTGTACACCGATACTTGTTCCTTGCCCTCTCAGGGTTCTGTAGTCTTCCCTGATAGTGGCCCAGGTTCCAGTCTGCCATGTCATTTACGCCTACATGAAAGAGTAGCAGTGGGAGAGTATCGTGTGTTTGTGATGATTTTTGGCACCCTTGTAGCAACATACCAGTCCTTAACTCCTGGAATGCAGCACATCTCCAGTGGCTCTCAGGCTGGCAGATGGGTGCTTCGGTGCCCCTTAACCCACTATGAGTGTTTCTTTTCACTGCATGCTGCTGGTGCAGCTTTTCCTTGCAGACCTTGTACCTCATGTCTGTAACAGACTGCAGCTCTTAAAGCTTCCTATGTGTTTTTGGTGGGAATACTGGAGGGTGGGGATTGAAGCAGAGTCCTGCTTTTGGTCATCACCAGGATCCAAGGTACCTCCTTATCTAAGGTGTCCACCACAGAAACCACTTACCTTGCTCCATCTCAGCACCTCTAATGGTGCACAGCCTTTTAACTGTTTCCTGGCAC